GAAGTCCAAATTGGGGCTACTACCAGCATCCACCCATAATGGCCCTTAGCGAAAGAATGTGAAGTCTGGCTTAGATGCCCTGGAAGGTTACTCTCTCTCTCTGTAGAAAGTTCTTCCTGGACCAAAATTTTGCAGTGCATATGAGCCTTCTTATTTCTGGTCTAGACCTGCTTCTGGCTGTTTCATACCCCCATCTTTGAACCACGTCGCCCTGCATCTTAAATAGTTCTTTCCCTTCCTTTATTTACTCTTATGTTTCATGGGCAGCAGTAATATCCTTAGTTAGCCTTTTTTTTTTAAAGTTAAACAAGGCAAGCTTTGCTTGACTGCACTCATAAGGTAGGCTCTGCAGTCTTATCTTAAAATTATCTATCTTATTAGTCTCTGAGACTGCACTCTTTTTATTTCAGTGTATTTGGGCATGAGTGACATGGAACTGATATGGTATTTCACATAAAGTTTTATTAGTAGCTTATGCCCCGACACTAATACTTTCCTCTGACTATTGATATCTCTTAATGCCTCCTAAGATTGCTTCTGTGTTTTTGATATGTTTTAACACTAGCTACTTACAGCATACCTGAAACTTTCTTCCTTATGATGTTTCCAAGTTATTATCTCCCAATTTGCAATAGATTTTTTTTTTTTGGTTTTGATGACTAAACTCGTGACTCAGAACTTCAATTTTTCTCCTTTTTTGTTATTCCATTTCTCAGGGTCAGCCAGTGTATGCTGCTATAATATCCTGGCCCTTCGTTGCATTGGTAACGCGTTCCAGCTTACCTTCTGGAAAGCAGTGTTGTGCGTGCTGACTGCAGTGTCGCGGAGCTCCCTGGATCCGCTGTGTGGCATGGCTCTCTGTTACTAAGCAGCACATACGCTCCTGTGCCCTCCCCATCCTCCTTGTGGCCTGCGTGCTTGCAGCCATGGGAACACTTGGGTAACTTGCAGAGAAACCCAGTCCCCTTTCCCAAAACATGAGCCTGTGTGTTTGGGAGAACTCGTAATCGCGCAAGCATAGACTGTCCTACAGACATGCAGTGGCAGTAGGACAGGTGGGCAGGTGCATGGGGTTATCAAGAAATATCTGTAGATCTTTGAGTTCTGGGACTTTCTCTCTCTTGTTCCTAGATAGAGCTGCATTTTGTATGCATGCTAGAGAAAAAAATTCTTCCAGATTCTTCCATCTTCTCTTTGAAGATGTGAAACTTGGAGAAAAGTATTGTGGTAGGTGGTAGGTGGCATTCCTTGCAGCTAATGAAGGTTTAAAATAAAATCAAGAAATTTTGCATCTGTACTCATACAGTCTGAAGTAATGAATGCTCCTTAATCTTGTAAAGAGACAGGCAAAGGAGTCTGCTAAGAAAGAATCTACTAAGAAAAAAAACTTATAATAATTATTAACTATACTAGGTAAATGGCTGAAGTGGTATATTGACCATATCATTAAAGCAGTGTATGTTCTTAATGTACTGTTTCAGCTGATTAAAGCACTGCCTCATTTCCTGGATAAATAAAATTTTGTGATTATTATAAACCAATGAAAAATGATTTTATTAATTTGAAATTATTTTATGCAACAGTTCTAGTCTGCATTGAATTTTCTATTTTTTTTCATTGGGAACCAGCACTAAAAGAAGTATTTCAGTGACTAGAGATGTGGAAAAATATTTTATAGTTGAATTTAATATTTATTGAGAAATGTTAATGTCTATACCTTATTTGTCCAGGAAGTAATGGAGTTTCATCATTTAAATAATTTAAAACTAGGCTGGATAAAGCAGTTAAGAGTATTTTATGCTACTGGGAACAGTTTTGTTTTACTGGATAA